GAATTTGTTTTTTACTTTGTCAAAGGTATGTTGCAACAGATGGCTCTCGTGTGACCATATTTTATGGATTGTTAAAAAACTGAACTCAATGCAGTCATCCACTATGTGTGTCTACCTAAATTTTGTTAGAAACATAAAGCGGTTTGTAGCGAGAAAACTTCGGCCAGATCAGCCAAGACCATCCAGTCATATTTATTCTAAATGTTGGTAAATCACATGATAGCTCAGTGTATCTCGGCGACGATGAAAACCAGGGTAATCATTGGAGCATATGTTGTCTTGACAAAGACAAACGAACAGTAACGTACGCAGATACACTTGCATACAATGTTCCTACCAGCCTAAAAGAGAAGATTACAGAATTCTATAAAGAGATATACGGTGAAGAAATGAGTGGGTTCTCTTTTAAGAAATGCCATGATCATTCGGGCACAAATAACGGAAAGTGTGGACTAACGTGTGCAAGATCATACCCACTACAAACATGCGGTTCGGTTTGTGGATCAGTAGCAATAACATCAACCGCATTGGCCTGTTTAGCGAAAAACGTATTTCAAACTCTAATCAGCAAAAATGCAAAGCTCACCGGGTTTTTCTTCACAACGCCTTCTAGATACGCAAAATACCTCAGAATGGTTCTGTGTACATGGATTGTCGAAAAAACAGTTAACATATAAAGTATGTGTTACCAAAAGAGAATTTGCATGGTTCCATTTCCGGTGATTCTTCTTCAACGTATGCAGCATCAAACGTGAAAAATGCACCTTCTACATTAACTAACAATCCTGAGTTGCTAAAAGGTTGCGAGTTTCCCTCACGATCTGATGAGGAACGATCTCCAAGTATGTGTAATTCCAATGAAAAGTCAACTTCAGAACTAAATGCTAACAAAGATGAACAAAAGGTTAAGAAGGTAAACAAAACCAATAACACTTCTCAAAACAAAGCAAAGGTAAATGCAGATACCAAAACGTCTTATAGTGCCAAAGGGTGTGAAAATGACCCGAATGTAGCTAATACCCCTGCCCAAAACATACCTGACTCAGCCAAAAACAAAAATTCTGGAAATCCTGTTAAAGATTCTGGCAAAGTTCACAAATGTCCTCATTGCCAACAAACCTGCAAAAAATTATTCAATTTGAGAAGGCACATTTCTAGACATCACGGAGACATTGTTACTGACAATAAAGAAGATAAAACAGCACCAAGACAATGTACCTGTCTAGATTGTGATTTCAAGTGCCACAAAATTACTGACCTAAGGGTCCACTTACAGAAGGCCCATGGCACGATAATGAACACTACTACAGAGAATTATAACACAAATACAGGTACGTATAAGCAATTCTTCAAATTAAACGAGTACTTAATATTATAAATCAATATGTTATGATTAGAAATAAGCAAATTTCTTAAATGAAACGAAATAGTACAGCTTTTATCAGGTAATACCATTTTATATTGAGCATAATACGTGTACCATGCATGCATCGTGATTAAAATTTTACTTTTTGTACTAATTTGAATAGAATTCGATAAGTGGAAGTTGAAAGTCGAGGACAAATATTGCTGTAAGTTTGTCAAGCAAACAGGTGAAAAATTGGACAGTCATAATGAAAAGGTGACATACTATCAATGCAATCGAAGTGGGACCTACAAACCGAAACTATCAAGGAAGCGGCACACAAGGTTGGTAGAAAATTTGTAAATACAGCACTATATAGTTTCAGTTAGTCTTTGTCACTACCAGCGGTTTCACCTACAGGCGGATTTATTCTCTGGGTTTTTGCTTCTAGCTTTAGGTAAAACCGCTGTAATGACTTTATAAGGTTCGTTCTCACACAAATGAATGGTTAATTGTTATATTACTTATCAACATGCAGGTACCAGGAAAATCTCCAATAACTGTACTTCAACCATAAAGCGAATTGAGGATAAAGATGGGAGCATAACTGCAGAAATTGTTGAAACTCATTACAGCCATAATTTAGAATTACAACATGTACCAATACCTGACGATAAAAAGGAGGAAATTGCCGCCAAGCTCCAGCAAGGGATATCTAATGAAAGGATCATTGACGACATTAGGAACAGTTGCAACGACGAGGGTATAAAACGCCATCATTTACTAGAAAAAAAAGATTTGCGGAACATATCTTCTTGTTTCGGTATTGAAGGTGCTCGAAATCATACAAATGACCAACAAAGCGTACATGCAGAATCAGTTTTATTTGCACTGATTTCTTTCTTACAGGATTATGTATTACTAGTATACTATATATACTTACATTATATTTCATAATATGTATTTACAGACGAAGAGTGCGTAGTGGTCAAAGGAGCAGAAGCTTTCGAGTTGACCATTATGAGATTATATTTGAGTATTTAAAACTAAATTTAAAAAAAGTTGATCTCTATAGCATTTATTGCTAAGGTTTCTAAGTGTATAGTATAATTTACAAAACTTATTTTATATATGAGATTACTATATCTTTTAATAACATATACAATAAGTCTAGTCAAATCTGTCATGTAACTCTACTTGACTATTAAGTAAAAACATTTTATACTGTTTTTTGAAACTATAAAATGGCAAAGATTTAATCTGCATAGGAATTTTTTCCCATATTTTGGAAGCTTTTGTTTTGAATCGGGTTAGCCCATAATTTGTTCTAGAAGCTGGTCTGTATAGGTTCTGCTTGGAGGCATATCTGGTGTTATAACTATGAACATCAGATGCTTCCATAGTTAAATTTAATAAGGCTTTGGGAACTTCTGTTTTCCGAATTATTATTTTATAAACAAGAGATGATATTTTCAGGTTAAAGATATTTTCAAGTTTCAGTATTTCGAGAAGTTGAAAATAGGCCGTTACATTTTCATTTGTTCTTGAGAAAAAGATTGCACGAAGACATTTGTTTTGTTTAGTTTTTATTTTATCCAATCTAGTTGGACAGGCAGTAGTGTGTAGTAAAGTTGTTTTAGCATATGAATGGATACGAAATGTCTTAGTTTATTTATAACCCCAGTGTTCTTGGCTATTTTGTTTTGTATATGTTGCAGTTGATCATCCCATTGTAGATGCTCATCGATAAAAACACCCAAATACTTTATCTTCTTTTTCCTTTTTATGTCACATGTTTTTATTGTTATATCACATTTTTTCCTTGGTGAGGTAATTAGCATGTAATTTGTTTTTTTAAAGTTGATAGAAAGCTTGTTATCATTGCAGTATTTCAGTACATGCTTTAATTCATCATTAATTGTTTTTTCTAGCCCATTTACGCTGTTTGAGGAATAGAAAATATTTGTATCATCAGCGAAAATTCTAAATAAAATTTTTTTTTAACAATTAGGTAAATCGTTGATATATAACAGGAAGAGTAGTGGTCCTAAAGTAGATCCCTGTGGGACACCACAAGTCATTGTTTTCATACTAGATTCTGTTTCACCAATTTTAACGTATTGTTTGCGATCAGATATGAGCTTGAAAACCATTTATTCGCCACTCCACGAATGCCATAGGAATGTATTTTAACTAATAATTGGCATTTTAACTAATAATTCAAGATGGCAGTCACGCATTTTTGGGCTCCACTTTTAATATTGTTTCTTGCTTTTATTTCGATGCAAAAATGGCACAGTATTGTTGAATATCAGCATTTGGAACGCTATCCAAGCGAGGAGTTTATGTTTTGTACTCCTTTGGCTCCGAAATGTTTATGAAGCTCTATATCGTATTATTTATCGAGCGAACAATGTTAACGTTTCTCGATTGTGTTCGGCGAACGTCTCGTCATTGTGTATCTTGCTTCTCCTCGGAGGAGATATAGAACTGAATCCAGGTGATAAATGGCCTAGTTGTGGTGTATGTTCCAACCAAGTAAAGCCTAGTCAGGAGGGAATGAAATGTGACCAATGCAACTCATGGTTCCACATGAATTGCCATCTAATGTCGAACGAGATGTGTAATATCTTGACAAGTTCATCGTGTGTGTGGTTGTGCCCGCAATGTGATAATCTTAACCAGTCGAACCCATCTCTCTGTGGATCTTTGGATTCGCTGTGTTCGAAAAATTATTTTGAACCGCTTAACGAAGAGGTTTGTGAAAGTTCTTTGCCAACTCAAAGCCATGTTCATAATTGCCATAACAAGAAGCGAAATCAACCCAAGCGAAACGGCATGTCATGTTTACTAATTAACTGTCGAAGTATAAAAAATAAAGTTGCTGATGTTGAGGCTGTGATTAGCGAACATGATCCAGACATTATTTTGGGAACAGAATCGTGGTTAAATCCTGAGATAGGAAGTGGAGAAATCTTTCCAGAAACATATAATGTCTTTAGGAAAGATCGAATCACAAACAGCCACGGGGGCGGAGTCTTTCAGGCGATAAAGAAAGATATAATTGTCACGCATCGTACTGACTTGGATACTGAATGTGAAATAATTTGGACGCAGTGTCAATTGGCTGGCCGTAAATCGAAATCTATCCTTTTTGGGTCTTATTACCGACCCAATGTCTCCGATATGGATGGCCTTGTCGAATTAAACGTATCTTTATTAAAGATGCGTGACAATATCAACAAGAGCAACGTGTTACTTGTGGGGGATTTTAATGCACCTGACATTGATTGGCAAAATCCCGAAACTTCCAGTACATGCAAGACATCCGAAAGATTACTCGAAATAATAGACGAACATGATTTAACCCAACTAGTCCAAGAACCCACAAGACGACAAGGGGAAATACAAAATATTTTAGACCTTGTATTGTCTAACAACAAAAACCTTGTGCGCAATGTAACAATTATACCTGGAATAAGTGATCACGACATGGTGCTTTTCAGGGTGCGACCGTCTTGCAAAAAGAAACGGAATGTGAAACGTAAGATCTATTGTAGAAAACGAGCTAATTGTATCCGTATAAAAGAAGAGCTGAAAGAACTTTCTAATGATCTCATACAAAATACCAAACACGAAATTGTTGACAGGAAATGGGATAAGTTTGAATATAGTGTACGTCGCATTATGGATACCCACATCCCACATAAGATGACTACCTCCCGGCATAACCTACCTTGGTTTAATCGCACATTGAGACGCGAAGGAAGAGCAAAACAAAGATTATACAACAGAGCCAAGAAGTCTGGAAATCCAACACATTGGCATCAGTTTCGTGCTGCTAGGAAAAGGTTACACCAGAACTTGAAAACTGCCAGAGATATCTATGTGTCAGAGTACCTTGGCGACGCGATTGAAGAAAACCCAAAGCGTTTTTGGTCTTATGTGAAGCAACTAAAGCAGGATAACCTGGGAGTAGCAGATTTGGAAATTGATGGAAAATTAATTAGTGATGGACAAACTAAGTCTGAAATCCTTAATAAGCAGTTTTCTTCTGTTTTCACTGACGAAAATCTTGCAAATATACCAGCAGTAGGTGATAATCCTAAACCAGCAATAAGACCTATCAGTATTTCCATCTCTGGTGTCACTAAGCAGTTACTGTCATTGAAAACAAACAAAGCTTGTGGACCTGACTCTATCCCATCCTGGTTCCTAAAAGAATATGCCCAAGACATTTCACCCATGTTAACTAATATTTATCAATGCTCCATAGACACAGGAATCGTGCCTTCTAAGTGGAAAAATGCAAATATATGTGGGATCTTCAAAACAGGGAAAAAATCAGATCCGGTTAATTATAGACCTATTTCTCTGACTTGTATTGCCTCTAAGATATTGGAACATATAATTCACAGTCATGTTATGAAACACTTGCAACAAAACAACGTGCTAACGGACTGTCAACATGGATTTAGGGCAAAAAGATCAACCGAAACCCAACTTATTGTAACCATACATGATCTGGCGAATACAATTCAACGTGGTGAGTCAACACATGTTGCAGTCTTGGACTTTTCGAAAGCTTTTGACAAGGTACCCCATCAACGACTTTTGAGGAAACTGTATTATTATGGAATTTCTGGAGAGTTATTTGATTGGTTCGAGTCTTTTCTTTCACAACGTTATCAGTCTGTTGTCTGTGAAGGCAAAACATCTACCCCCTACTTGTGACGTCAGGAGTTCCCCAAGGGACAGTGCTTGGCCCGCTCCTATTTTTATTGTACATTAATGACTTGTCGGACAACTTGCAGTCAACTGTGAAACTTTTTGCTGATGATGCCTTATTATATGGTGTCATTACGAGTGATTCAGATTGTGACCGCCTACAGGATGATCTACATAAGCTAGAACAGTGGCAAAATCTATGGCAGATGGAATTCAACCCCTCAAAATGCAAAATCTTATGCATTTCCAATAAAAAGCAACCTCCCCAAAAGCGGTATTTGTTTTGTGGAGTAGAGCTAGATCAAGTGGAAGAAATATCTTACTTGGGCATTACTTTCACTAGTAAATTAAAATGGAATCACCATGTCTCTTCGGTGGCAAGTAAAGCAACGAAAGTTCTTGGTGTGATGCGACGTAATCTGTGGAATTGCCCCACGAAAGTGAGAGAAACAGCATACAAATCCATTGTACGACCCAAGCTAGAATATGCATCAACAGCCTGGGATCCTTACACTAACAAGGACAAAGTGGCTTTGGAAAGAGTGCAGAGAAAAGCAGCGCGTTTCTGTTCCAAGAATTACAATCCTATGTCAAGTGTCACTGATATGATTGAAGATCTAAATTGGGAAAGTTTAGAAGTTAGAAGAAAGAAAGCTAGATTGACATTGTTGTACAAACTCTCTCGGAATCTTGTAGACGTTGAAACAAATAATTACTTGCTGGTAAATAATGAGACCAGGACTCGTGGCAGTCATAGCTATAAATATAGAGTCCCAAAAACTACCAAAGATGTTTTTAAATTTTCCTTTTTTCCTCGCACGATTAGGGAATGGAATTTACTTCCCGAAGAAATTGTGAGCTCAGAGAACCTCCTCCAGTTTAGAAACAATTTAAACAATTCTTTTTAATAACTGTAAATATTGTTGTAAATATAGATTTTTAGAATAGGTATAGTTTTAAATAGTTGGTGTGATATTCGAAAGGATTTTACCGACTCAATAAATATAGATGTAGATGTAGACGTAGAACACTCGCACCTACAGCGTCCTCCTCGTGCCTTCGTCCCTATGTATTATCGCCCTTGGAAATTAGTTTACTTCATATCTGATAAAGGTCTAACCAAAACAATTAAAATTTCTATACAATCTAGGTTGGACCCTCTATTTAAGATTTTGAAATGTTAGCACACACACAAAATTTAATTATTGGTACAGTATTAGCTGTATAACGGTTGCCGTAAAACCGGAACGACTTCTAGCGCGATGAATGTAAACAAATTATCACCAGAGACTCGACCGGAGCGATCTGAATTTTGGTCTAACGCTGATTGTCGCTAACATATTGACAACGGTGCATGGACAAGATACAACATCAATGACCCGTCTGCACTTTTGATAAGCGCAATGGATTGTATAATCATTATTATTATGCTTCTCGCATCAGTCGCATGTAAACCTACTGACAATTTAAATGGTGACACAGTACCATCAGTTAATTTTGTAAATACTTCTTATATGATATCAATATTGTGATTCAGACGTAATTCAAATCTTGGTATAAATAGGTCCTTGTAATTAATATAATGTTATAATTTATTAGGGTAATCAAATAGGTAGGGAGTGATTTTAAAAATGTCTTTGTTGCTGCCAGATCGTAACAAATCAGCATGTTAGTCTAAAACTCAGACAATAATACAATCAATAAAATCGTAAGAATACATTCCCTTGAACGTTTCATTGAATGAACCAAACTGTGGAAATCGCAAGTTCCACAAAAATATCAAGATTTTGGGGCATCCCATTCGATAGAACGTTGTCAGCCGATCCGCACGTTGTATGCCAGTAAGATTACTGGATATAATAATTGACAATCCCAGTAACTTACTAAAATTGTAATTTCACGCATAATAAATGTCTCAAACCCAAACCTTAACTCCTATGCTAACGATATACAATGCCAATAAGTTACTGGATACATATATATTTACTGGGGTACGTACAACGTTCGGATGGAGTGACTTTGTGGATGAAATACTCTTAGAGCCGCTACTGGTATAGCAAAGCGCTGGTTCGATTCCTGCCAGAGGGCCTAAAGTTGCACTGATATTTCGCAACTGCTCCCTGGTTCTCTTCAATTAGTTCTAACGAACTGGATGCCCCCAAAATCTTGATATTAACCCCATATTCGACTATATTTCACTGCCCTATTCGACTATATTTCACTGCCCTATAGGAATTCCTATTAAATTTTGGCCCAATTTCCCATAGAAATTCCTATAGGATCCTATAGGAATTCCTATAGGATCCTATAGAAATTCCTATAGGGTCCTACAGGAATTCCAATAAGATCCTATAGGAATTCCTATAGGAATTCCTATAGGAATTCCTATTAGATTTCGGCCCAATTTCCTATAGGAATTCCTATACAAATTTCTATAGGATCCTATAGGAAATTGGTCCAAAATCTAATAGAAATTCCTATAGGAATAGGAATTCCTTAGATTCACATAGAAATTCATATTGGATCATATAGAAATTCTTGCATAATCCTCTAAATCAAACTGTCTAAAAGAGTTATTTACCAAGGTGAAGGAAAAAGAGAAACAACTAGTGAAAAAAAAATTATTACAGATTAAAATGTGGCAAATATAAGACCTAATATAACAGGCTATATTTACATATAACGTTCTAATTTAGGCTATTTATCTTTTTAACTTATGACATTTTTCATTGTTCTCAGTTTAAGAAATGTTTCTTTTATTTTCTTACTTTTAAAAATTTTTAGACATAAAATTGTACTATATTATATTACCTATATTATGTATTTAAAAAATAGAAAATTCTGTATGCACTACATAAGTTTTATTTTCTGTCATTCTTATACATGACTATGTTTAGTTCTGATTGCACAGCAATGTGTTGTGGCGAATAGAGTTTCTCACAAAGACGTATTATAACACTTTCCACTGCACAAACAATATTATGACCTAACAAACCATTTGTTCAAGTCCATTGATTTCTTCATGTACATTTAATACTGCTCCAAGCACAGCGTGCAAATGCCACGAGAGATCCATCATATTGGAATCTGTAAAAGGAAAACTTTATTTATTTGGAAATATAATCATAATTAGTAAATTATACCCTATAAAAAAACTAGAACAATGGACTTGCTTCCTAAACTGAGACACTCTTCAGTCAGTTATAAGGGACTATTAACTCTTGATGTAAAAACAGTTTTTAATGAATATTTAACAATTTTTTTATGAGGTTGAGAATGATATGAAGAATTATCAAGCCCAAAGTTTGCCGTTATCAACTGAAGCCGAAGGATGAGGTTGATAACCGTTACGGCAAACGGAGGGATTGATAATTCTTCATATTGTGCAAAAACCAAATTCAATAATTGTTTTATTATTTAATTTAAAAAATCAAAACAAATGGAACCCATTTGTATTTTATTTGTATTAAGAAGAAAGTTGATATGACAATTTCACAGTTGGCTGTTAGCCAATCAGAAACCAGAAATTGTTTAAATAAATAATAGTAAGATTTATCCTTTATATATAAGATAATTTCCATAGCTTATTTCATAATCACAATGAATTACAAAGACTGTTCATATTGGTACAAGGTAATGCAGAGTGTAATATGTATGCTAGGTTTGGTGATTAATCCAAGCGAAAACTAAGTCCTCTGGCAGTAATCGAATCTATGGCCCTTCGATTCCGGACCTCAGTTGGTTAGAGCGCTTCCCCGGAAGCACAGGGCTGTAGGTTCAATCCCTGGTCGAGGATTTAGTGTTACATTTTTCGCAATCGTTCTCTGGTTATAGGTCTTAATTAAATAGTGTCTATATATATAATTATATATATTGGATTATCCACCAAACCCAGTATTCTAGTCCAACCAAGTGAATTGCAAATAATATCTTTCAAGTTGTAATATGTATAGTATGTATAGTATCTTAAACAGAGACATGGCCTTGGGCAGAGAGTAGGGATATGCTGGATTGGGTTACTGGCATCCGGCAAAATATAGGCCATCCAAAACTATCAATGCCGTGCCACATATGTTTATGCTCAATATATAAAGTGATAAAGCACATATTAAATAAACTATGGACTATTGTTAGTGAATCTGGTTATATTTGCTGATTGTTAAGAACAACATTTGGAGCCAGGGCTACATACAAGCACTACCCAGCTCAAATATTAATCTAGAAATATAAAAATACAGTAAGACAACATTTGAGGCACTGTCTCAGCACTATCATTGCAAACATCACTTTATACAAGTGAAGCTCTTTATAAACCCACTATTAAAGACTCTCCCCTTGACAAGTAAAATCATCTGGCAATTTAGACAGAGTAATGCAAATACAGTAGAGGACACTTGAGCACATTAAAGATTGATTATCGATACACTAAAAATAGCACATTAAATGCTGTCGTTCCTCTCTGATTCCAATCCTTATTGAAGTACTAAAATGCAAACATATCTTTAAAAGCATTCGGATGTTTAATATATATTATTTCGTATAATTATTTACCCACTTTGACAATATAGTCTTAACTCTTAAGCAAAGTGCCAAATTATGCCAAAGAAAATATTGCTAAATTGTTAATTATAGTGTGAAATTTAGTATAGAATTCACAATAATAGGTTCGAATCTATATTTCTTTCTTTCTTTACTCCCAGAAACCAACATTTTGTATGTTTTATATGCAAACTGAACGCGGCAAATTCAAACATTCAATGGAATTTTAAGACACATGGCCCACATGGCTCAAGTTAACAATCATATTCACCACATTATTTCGCAATTAAAGTGCTTAAATAATAAGTCAAATACAAAAGTACACTGTTAATTTTAGGGTGTTAAAATAACACCAAAAAGTGGTGTTAAAAAATTAGGTAAAAAATAACACTACTTTTTGGTGCTATTTTAACACCACTAAAAAAG